AATATACACAAGATCCCGGTTCGATTAAACTGTCTTAAAGTCAAAACCGATTTAATCACAACGAGGAAAACATTGCTACATACAACTTGTGATTTATGGGGACTCAGAAGACAAAAGACAACAACAACAAAATTAAAAAAAAGAAAAAGAGAAAGATTGCAAGTGCAGGAAAACTGACGCGTGTGAAGATATCGGATTGGCTTTAGTTTTGAAGCTGACCGTTGATTAGGGCCATGCGGATTTTCTTTTTGCCAATCATAGAACGCAGAATGAGCGTAATGCGTCAAGCTACGGGAGAAGTTAGCGACCGAGCGGTCTCAGCTCAAACAACTTATACCCTGGTCTGTTGCAAAGATAATGGCTTGAAACCTTTTATATGATTGGCCTTAAATTTGATCAAGAGAAACATTTCTGTCTCGAATTTTAAAAATGAAACGGCTTAGATTTTCATAAATAGACAATACTTTCATTTTTCCTTTTTTTCCACTCTCACTAACAATTTTTTTAACTGATAAAAATATAAGTTCCCACTTAAAACATTAATCCCTGCTTTGTTCCTAAAGCATTCAATTTTGAGTAGTGCTGTAAAATATTCCTACGAATTCATTCTCAGTAAAAGACCTTCTTAAGCTTGTCGACGAGGAAGAGAAAGAATATTACGCTAAAGATGGTCAGGTAGAGGTAAGATAGACAGACAGAGTTTGTTGCAACAAAATCCATTTGTTTCAATCCGGCTAAACTGCAATCCAATCATTTAATTTTACTCTTCTACATTTGTCTTAAAGGCCCCAACGTCTTCAAAGGCTACCTTCACGACCCCAAGAAAACTGCTGAAACTATTGACGAAGATGGCTGGCTCCATACCGGTGACATTGGTGAATGGCTTCCGGTAGGTGATTATTTCTGGTCTCGGTTTGATCCCCTTTGGAGTTTTGCAAATTGACATGCACGACATCTTATTTAGTTACTGTATCCCCTTGCAGAAGTAAAAAAATTGAAAGATAGGTGGAAAGCAAGAGGAATGTTTTAAACACCCCTTTTGCGAAGTAAATGAGTTTTAAGTTGGATGATACTTGTGCATTTGAAGAGTCAGTGTCAAAGTCTATCTTGAATGCAACGAGGAGGTAACGACAACTAAACGACGACGTCACGATGGAGTTGCAAATCATAAGCGAGGACATAACGGATGACGAGTCTTTCTGAGTTTCTTTTTTCATTAACAAAAAGAATGATAACTCTATGTTAGCGTATCGAGTACTTTATTGCCGCGACAATTAGATCGCCGTTTTGCGTATGTATCTCGCACCTATCAGATTGCTGCATATTTGGGTTATGTATCGCGCATCAATCAAATCAGAGCATTAAGACTGATTTGAACTAATCAGTACGTCAGAGCATTGTTTCTCTTATATAAACTTCTCATATACAACGTCCTATAAAGCTTTCTCATATGCATTTAAACACACACAACCCACAATTCCTCCATTCGCTCTGACGAGAGGCTAACGCTCGAAACGTCAGCTTTTAAACCATTTGGGGTGTGGGGTGGCCAATTTACATTATCGACTTTGGGGTGTGGGGTGGCCAATTTACATTATCGACTTTGGGGTGTGGGGTGGCCAATTTACATTATCGACTTTCAGTCGATGAAACCAGCCAATTTAGTCTCTCATCTCAGTCGATGAAACCCACAATTCCTCCATTCGCTCTGACGAGAGGCTAACGCTCGAAACGTCAGCTTTTAAACCATTTGGGGTGTGGGGTGGCCAATTTACATTATCGACTTTGGGGTGTGGGGTGGCCAATTTACATTATCGACTTTGGGGTGTGGGGTGTGGCCAATTTACATTATCGACTCAGTCGATGAAACCAAATTGCATTGTCTCTCATATCAATCATGCCATGGAATAAGGGTGAGACAAAGTGTGGCAATGAAATCATCCCGACGTTTCCCCACACTAAAACGAGATAAAAGAATTGCTGAAATATAAAATGTCCTTAGTGAGTGCCTCGTCGCGATAACGTCGGGATTATAAAAGCTCCTTAACTTAAGGTCTAACATGAAGTTATCACTTCAGCGTTTGATTTGTAAGGGCTAGTTTTGCTGACTCAGGAAAAATTTTGCGCAAAGCATTTGCGAAAAGCATGTTTGATCAATAATCTTGTTTTTGCCTTGTGGTTGCTTTATTAGCCAAGGTCGAAAAGATTTGCAAGCTAAAATTACTTTCTGTGTCGACTGCCCTGTTAATTTTCGTTTCTTTACTTTTTGAAGTTGAGTTACATCTTGTGTTTTTAGACGGTATTTTTCGGTATTTTTCCACTATTGATTAGGCTTTCCCCAATAAAATGACATTTTCCAGTTAACAGCCTAAATCTTACGTATAATCCTTCGCCACAAATAATTTTACATGAAACCAAATGATACGATTGGTAAATTTTCCACGCAACTCTCACGTGCTTTGACGCCGTTTTCTACCAATCAAGTTCGCCTGAAAGCTACCTTGGACTTCACCCCATTATGTGTGATTTCCTTGTAAACAACCAGTATTCAATGTCGTCTTCCACATGCAAAAGGCAAAGTCCAGATTAGCAACTACACCTTACCCCTCACGTGTTGCAATGCCCACGTAAAAGCCTTTGAAATATGATTGTTTTCTCCTCATTTAATGTGCCTTTCCTATTCGAAAAAGGTAGACAGCCAAACGTATTTGGATAAGGTCTCACGGAAATAACACGGAATTTTGGTTTGGTTTCCGCGGTAAAATTATGAAAAGCGCTTGCGCCGAAGCCCATTATGAGCCAGCAAAGTCTCAATTGTAGCCATTGTATGGTGTCGTCACGCCACGGGGGAGAGAGCGCGTTGAGTGACGAGACCAAACGAGGGCTGCAAAGGAAGCTATAGTTAACGTGACATCAAATTTTTCAGACAACGGTAACATCAGAACACAAAATACCTATGTCTGAGTTTATTACATATAAAAATTAGAAGGGTAATTTTTGCTCCCTCTCGAACGAAATTTTTTTAGAAACTTTAAAAGCTAATGCTCTTTTTCTTTTACAAAATCGAAAAACTTAGTCACTAAAAATGTCTTATCTCAACCCAACCATCCAAAACATAACTCACGCATGTGTAACATGCTCATGTTTACAGTTTCTTACTTTAGTTTATTTTTCGTTATTTATTTTCTTCCCTTCTTCTGATTGACTTTTACTTTAGTGTTTTGCGCAATAGATTTTCCTTTTCTTTCCAATAGGACGATTCCCCTGTTTCCCCCCTTTACTTTTGTTTGTTACGGACATATTGCGCATTGATATCGTCTTTTTTCCGTATCTTTATTTTGTTTTTTATCTTGCGTGTGGTACATTCTCTTCTCTGATCGAATTTTGCGTTTGAATCTTGCACAATGCTTTTTCTCTTCTCTGTTCGATGTCCAAGTCACTATTTACCCCGCTGTTTTTTTCCAATGTTTATTTGTTTCTTAACATGGAATCCATCCCCCTGGTCTTTTTTTCTGAATTCTGGCTGATTGTCACATTTATATCCTGCGAACTGGCTCTTCTGTTTGACTATTGAATTGTTATGTCGCGCAATGACTTTTCCTAATTTTACATCGATAATTTGAATTCCGTTTCTCTTTCTTTCTCTGTTTGTTATTAATTTTTTTAGTATATTGCACTCCCTTCCCCGTTTAAATTTTAGATTATTAGATAGTATCTCGCGTATTTTTTGTTCCCTCTTGCCTTTGTTTGTTATTTTATCATCTCCTTTACCTGCGCATGCGGACAGTAGTTATTACTCTTTGATCACGTTTGCACGCTACGGGAGAATTAAAAACTAGATCATGGTTGTGTGAATCAAGAATTAACTTGGGAGTGTTGACGAAATTTAGCCAACACTCTCACATTTTAAGACATTTAGCTAATTTACTACGTTCAATTTTTCCATCTCAATTTAATTTAATTCCCTATTGATATACTTAATAGATCTAACGGCCGAATTGCAGGTTTCATTGCCGCTCGGTTTCGATTCAAACGTATTTTCAAAAACATGCAAAAACGACTTCTTTGATTAAAAAAAAAAGAAGAAAAATTAAACATGTATACGCAAAGTAATATACCGGTGTCCATTTAAAGTCAATAAGGAGGATGAAGAATCTTTTTGTAGGATCAGTCGTCACTCTCTTCCTTTGTTTGCCTTTTTGTCATCCTCTTTGAGTTCTTATTTCCTGGAAAAAAAAAACATTGTGCATTTGTCACTATTTCAACTTGAAAGCAAACGGAGCAGATTACTTTCCTCTTAATATCATTGGTTATTATTATTCAAACTTTCCAAATTATTGTCGCACATACTCTGCTTGATGCAAAAGTGACTAAGGAATAATCATTTAATTGTTGTTATTGTTAATTTTTTTACACAATAAATTGAACTTTTTTAGATTTGGCGTAAGTTTCTTAGATTACTTTCATCGTCACAACGTCTAGCATCGTATCAATGCAAATTCAGTTTAGGAAGCGTTTCTCCAAAATCTTCCGGCTCCGAACACTTGTTAAAATCGAACAAACAAACAAGAACTGAGTATAATGTAATCAACTGATAAAATTGAGTGTGCTAATCAGTTTATTCTAGAAACTTTCTCCTTTTAATCAGACTTACTCTTTTTTCATAAAATCAAATGTCACATTATCCCCCATCAGCACGAACGGAGCCCATTGGGAAGGTTCGGGGAAGCCATTGCTTCTCAACCATTGAATGGCCTGGTGAAGAGATTCACTGGCACTTTCTCCCCGAACAAGGTGTTCATAGAAATGCTTCATGAGGTTTGCCGTTGCTTTGTCTTCTATAGCCCACGATGCTACCAACACTGAACGTGCACCGGATGCTAAGAATGCTCGAGCAATTCCAACAACTCCTTCTTTTTTAACCAATCCACGCCCACTGTGACAACAGCTGAGTACAACCAGTTTAGCTCGCACTTGAGTTCCCTGGATGTCGGACATAGTTAGGAGGTAGTCTTCCTCTTGTGGAATACTGTTGGCAGTACTTTGTGGGGAGAGGGCAATCTCTCCTCTTTCGGGATTTCCATGTGCGGCAAGATGTATCAGACTCACTGAGGAAATTGCTTGAAGTACCGCCTGCTTTGTTGCGCGCCCTCCCAACAAAGGCTCAACGCCCAGCAGTTCACCAACCATCCTTGCTTCCTTGTTTGCACAGAGCAATGGTGTAACGTCAAGGAGACGCCCATTATAATACACTTCGCCAACCTTGGGATCACCCACTATCAGTGCATCAGTTTGACTGTGATAGTCCACTGGACATTCTTGAATGTGTTGGAGGGTCCTCAGGGAAGGGACAATGCGTAGTCTGTACCTCTCCGACAAATACTTTCCGGCAGGGTTATCACGCAAGGCAGCAAATGGGACTCGGTACGAAAAACGATCCGGGACAATGATTATTTCAGGCTCTGTAAGTAAATGTGCCACAGGTGCGACGATCCATTCGTAGCACAAATGATGAATTCTTTCGGTATCTTTGGTTTGTTCAACTGGTAAACTTGTTCGGCTCTTTCCATGAGGAGATGTCGTCACGTTGTCATCTAAAGATCGATCTTCACAGTTGCTTGTGGGTAAAACGCCGAAGCCAGCCGCGCTCTTTTTAAAAATTCCTTCCACATCGCAAACTTGTTCAGCATCAAGAGTGTTTAATTCTACTTCGTTTGATTTTCGAAAGAAAGTGTCTCCATTTGCTTTCAATACCCAGAGAAGAACTTGCCGCTCTTCGTACGAAATATACAGAAAAACACAGTTAGTTTCTCTTTTCACGACGTTTTCAATCCCGAACCATGTGTTTGGATTAGCTGAGATGTGGCTTTCCACGGAGTTCTTGTCTGCAATTAATTCTGCGAGGACTCTCGCTCGTCCCAGTTCCTCAACGTAGAGAGCATCTTGAAATTGTTCAGTATCGCAAAGCAAGCGACTGAGTAACTTGTAGGGAAAAGTGCCGTGTTCCTCCAACAAAGAAATTTTAAATTCACTGTTTCCTTCCAGGCAAGTTCTGATTTGCTCGTATTTTCCAATACATTGAATGAGATAATCCTTTGCCTCCGCAACCTGTGAATGCGATACCTTGAGCCGTGTAATATTGAGAAGGCTTTCAAACTCTTTTAATTTGTTTCCAGTTTGACTGCTTATAGAGTAAGCTTTCTCCAAACAATCTTCTGCCTTACCACATTCATGAAGCGAGTGGTATATTTCGCCAAGGGTAATGTAAATTTTTGCTTCGAGATCTCTATATTCACATTCTCTGCTGATGGTAAGCGCCTTCTCACAATGTTCTTTGGCTTTCAGATTTTCATTGACAGAAGCAAAAACACTTGCTAAACCGGTAAGAGCAGAAGCTTCTGACTTTCGGTGACCAATTGCTCTACTGACGTCGACTGCCTTTTCAAAATATTCTTTAGCTGGCAGATTTTTTCCAAGGTTAAAATAATTAAATCCAAGTTTATAGTATTCGTGACATTCTGTTTCTCTCCTACCAATTTCTATCGCGATGGCAAGTGCTTTCTCGATATATTCTTTAGCCTTCTGATATTCGCCAATGGAAGAAAATACAGCTCCGAGGTCCCCGTATCTTGTAACTTCTCCATATTTGTCGCCAGTTTCTATCGCGATGGCAAGTGCTTTCTCTTGATATTCTTTAGCCTTCTGATATTCGCTAAGGGAATAAAGCACAGCTCCGAGGTTCCCGTTTCTTCTTCCTTCTCCTCTTCTGTGGCCAATTTCTATAGCAATGGCAAGTGATTTCTCGTAGTATTCTTTGGCCTTTTGCTTGTCGCCAAGGGAAGAAAACACAGCTCCAAGGTCGTTGCATCTGGTTCCTTCCCCTCGTCTGTCGCCAATCTCTATCGCAATGGCAAGTGCTTTCTCTTGATATTCTTTAGCCCTCTGACATTCGCCAAGGGAGTGAAACACAGTTCCAAGGCACCCGTATGTTGCACTTTCTCCTCTTCTGTCGCCAATTTCTATCGCGATGGCAAGTGCTTTCATGCAATATTCTTTAGCATTCTGATTTTTGCCAAGGGAATTAAACACACCTCCTAGGCACTCGTATGTTGCTCCTTCCTCATGTTTGTCGCCAATTTCTATCATGATGGCAAGTGCTTTCTCGGCATATTCTTTAGACTTCTTATATTCGCCAAGGTAATAAAATACATTTCCGAGCCTCCTGTTCATTCTTCCTTCTTTTTGTCTATCACCAACTTCTATCGCGATGGCAAGTGCTTTCTCGTAATATTTTTTAGTCTTCTGATATTCTTCAAGAGATTTAAACAAAGATCCGAGTTTCTCGTTCATTATTCCTTCTCGTTGTCTGTCGCCAATTTCTATCGCGAAGGCAAGTGCTTTCTCTTGATATTCTTTAGCTCTCTGATATTCGCCAAGGGAATGAAACACAGCTTCGAAGCTCTCGTATGTTCTTCCTTCTTGCTCTCTGTCGCCAATTTCTATCGCGATGGCAAGTGCTTTCCCTTGATATTCTTTAGCCTTCTGATATTCGCCAAGGGAATAATACACAGATCCGAGGCTCCCGTATGTTCTTCCTTCTCGTTCTCTGTCGCCAATTTCTATCGCGATGGCAAGTGCTTTCTCTTGATATTCCTTAGCCTGCTGATATTCGCCAAGGTATTCAGACAAAGATCCGAGTTTCCCGTACGTTCCTCCTTCTTCTTGTCTGTCGCCAGTTTCTAGCGCGATGGCAAGTGCTTTCCCTAGATGTTCTTTAGCCTTCTGATATTCGCCAAGTGAAGAAAGCACAGTTCCATGGTTCCCATTTATTCTTCCTTCTTGTTGTCTGTCGCCAACTTCTATCGCGATAGCAAGTGCTTTCTCTTGATATTCTTTAGCCTTCTGATATTCGCCAAGAGAATAGAACACAGATCCGAGGTCCGAGTTTATTCTTCCTTCT